CCCGACCTCTCTGCATCGCTGCTCCTGACCTCCCTGCACAGCCCATCCCGATCTTGCTGCACCGCCACACCCAAACTCCCTTCACCGGCACACTCTCCCAACATTCCTGCACTGCCTCTCCCGACCTTCCTGCACCGCCTCTCTCGACCTCCCTGCACCACCACACCCACTCTCTGTATCTCTGTGGTGCACACCGCCTATCCAAACCTCTATGCAACGTCTCTCCAGATCTCCCTGCACTGCCACACCCTACTTGTCCTCACTGCCTCTCTGGATCTCCCTGCACCGCCACACCCACTCTCTGTATCTCTTTGGTAAACACCACCTCTCCAGACTTCCCTGCACAGCCACACCTGATCTCTCTGCACCGACTCTCCCGACCTCCCTGCACAGCCACACTCGACCTCTCAGTACTGTCTGTCCAAACCTTCCTTCCCGACATCTCCTGACATCCCTGCATTGCAACATCCGACCTCTTGGTACCGCCTCTCTTGACCTCCCTGCACTGCCTCTTCTGATCTCCCTGCACCACAACACACAACCTCTCAGTACAGCATCTCCCAATCTCTAAGCACCGCCTCTCCTGATCTCCCTGCACCACCTGTCCTGATTTTGCTGCACTGCCACACTCGATCTCTCTGCACCGTCACACCCAACCTTTCTATACCATCTCTCCCGACCTCCCTGTACCCCATCTCCTGACCTCCCTGCACCACCACACCATATCTCCCTGCATCATCTCTCCCGACCTCCCTGCAATGCCTCTCTACCACCTCACTCGACCTCCCTATACCGCTACAGACCTCACTGGATCACCTCTCCCAACCTTCTTTTACCGCCACACCCAACCTCTCGGTACCGTCTCTCCTGACCTCCCTTTACAGCCTCTCCCTATCTCTCGGTACCACCTCTCCCAACCTTTCTGCACTGGCTCTCCCAACCTCCTAGCACATGCTCTACCGACCTATCTGCACTACCACATCGGACCTCTCATTACTGCCTCTCCCAACCCTCCTTACCACCACACCCAACCTCTTGGTACCGCCTCTCCAAACCTCCTTTTACCGCCACACCCGATCTCTTGGTACCACCTTTCCTGATCTCCCTGAACTGCTTCTTCCGACCTCTCTGCACCACCTCTCCCGACCTTTGTTTACCGCCTCTCCAGACCTTCCTGCACAGCCACATCTGACCTCTCGGTACTGCCTCTGCTGACATCCCTGCACTGCCACACATGACTTTTTGGTACCGCCTGTCCCAACCTCCCTTTACTGCCACACCCGACCTCTCGGTACCGCCTCTCCCGACCTCCCTACACCGCCACACACGACCTCCCCATACAGCATCTCCCAACCTCCCTGCACCGCTGCTCCTGACCTCCCTGCACAGCCTGTCCCGATCTCACTGCACCGCCACACCCGAACTCCCTTCACCCGCACACCCAACCTCTCGGTACCATATCTCTCGACATTCCTGCACTGCATCTCCCGACCTGCCAGAACCGCCTCTCTCGACCTCCCTGCACCATTACACCTGACCTCTCGGTATGGCTTCTCTCAACCTTCCTTTACCGCCTCTCCTGACCTCCTTGCACCACCTCTCTCGACCTTCCTGCACCGCCACACCCACTCTCTGTATCTCTGTGGTGCACACCGCCTATCCAAATCTCTATGCAACGTCTCTCCAGATCTCCCTGCATTGCCACACCCTACTTGTCCTCACCGCCTCTCTGGATCTCCCTGCACCGCCACACCCACTCTCTGTATCCCTTTGGTAAACACCACCTCTCCAGACTTCCCTGCACAGCCACACTTGATCTCTCTGCACCGACTCTCCCGACCTCCCTGCACTGCTACACTCAACCTCTCAGTACTGTCTGTCCAAACCTTCCTGCCCCACATCTCCTGACATCCCTGCATCGCAACATCCGACCTCTTGGTGCCGCCTCTCCTGACCTCCCTGCACCGCCTCTTCCGATCTCCCTGCACCACAACACATGACCTCTCAGTACAGCATCTCCCAATCTCCCTGCACCGCCTGTCCCGATCTTGCTGCACTGCCACACTCGACCTCTCTGCACCGTCACACCCAACCTTTCGATACCATCTCTCCCGACCTCCCTGTACCCCATCTCCTGACCTCCCTGCACCACCACACCATATCTCCCTGCATCGTCTCTCCCGACCTCCCTGCAATGCTACTCTACCACCTCGCTCGATCTCCCTACACTGCCACACCCGACCTCCCTGTATCGCCTCTTCCGACCTCCTTTCACCACCTCTACAGACCTCAATGGTCCGCCTCTCCCAACCTCCCTTTACAGCCTCTCCCGATCTCTCGGTACCACCTCTCCCAACCTTTCTGCACCGCATCTCCCAACCTCCCAGCACACACTCTCCCGACCTCTCATTACTGCCTCTCCCAACCCTCTTTACCACCACACCCGACCTCTCGGTACCGCCTCTCCAAACCTCCTTTTACCGCCGTACCCGATCTCTCGGTACCACCTTTTCTGACCTCCCTGAACTGCTTCTTCCGACCTCCCTGCACCACCTCTCCCGACCTTTGTTTACCGCCTCTCCAGACCTTCCTGAACAGCCACATCTGATCTCTCGGTACTGCCTCTCCCGACCTCCCTGCAACCTCTCCCGATCTCTCTGCGCCACCTCTCTCGACCTCCCTGCACCGCCACTCCCGACCTCCCTGCACCGCCACACCCAACCTCTTAGTACTGCCTCTCCCGACCTCCCTGCACCACCACACCCGACCTCATGGTACCGCCTCTCCTGACCTCCCTGCATCGGCCCTCCCAACCTCCCTGCACCGCCACACCCACTCTCTGTATCTGCATGGTTAACATCGCCTCTCCCTACCTCCATACTACGCCACACCTGACTTCTCCTCACAGCCTCTCTGAATCTTCCTGCCCCGATCTTTTTACCGCCACACCCGACCTCTCGGTACCGCCTCTCCCGACCTCCTTTTACCGCCACAGCCGACCTCTCGGTACCGCCTCTCCCGACCTCCTTTTACCGCCACACCCGACATTTCGGTACCGCCTCTCCAGATCTCCCTGAACTGCTTCTTCTGACCTTCCTGCACTGCCTCTCCCGACCTTTATTTACCGTCTCTCCCGACCTCCCACAGTGCCACATCTGACCTCTCAGTACCGTCTCTCTTGTCATCCCTGCACCGCCACACATGACTTTTCGGTACCGCCTCTCCCGACCTTCCACCACTGCCAAACCCGACCTTTCAGTACCATCTCTCCCGACCACTATTTACCACCTCTTCCGATCTCTCGGTACCGCCGCTCATGACCTCTCTACACTGCCTCTCCCAACCTCCAAGCACCGCCTCTGCTGACCTCCCTGCACCACCTCACCCAATCTCCCTGCACCGCCTATCTCAACCTCCCTTTACCGCTACATCCGACCTCTCGGTACCACCTCTCCCGACCTTTATTACCGCCTCTCCTGATCTCTCGGTACCGCTTCTCCTGACCTCCCTGCACTGCCTCTCCCAACCTCCGACCTCTCTGCACCGCCACATCCAACCTCTCGGTACTGCCTCTCCCGACCCCTTTTACCGCCATACCCAACCTATCGGTACCGCCTCTCCTGGCCTCTTTTTACCGCAACACCCGATCTCTGGGTAACGCTTCTATCGACCTCCCTTTACCGCCACTTCCGATCTCTTGGTACAGCCTCTCCCGACCACTTTTTACCGCCCACCGGTACCACCTTTCCCGACCTCCCTTTACCACCTCTCCTGACCTCCCTGCACCGACACACCTGACCTTTCAGAACTGCCTTTTTCGACCTTTCTTTACCGACTCTCCCGATCTCTCGGTACCGCCACTCCCAACCTCCTTGCACTGCCTCTCCCAACCTCCCAGCACAGCCTCTCCCAACCTCTCTGCACCGCCACTACCAACCTCTTGGTACCGCCTCTCCCAACCTTCCTGCACTGCCTCTCCCTCTCCCAGTACAGCCACATCTGACCTCTCAGTACCGCATATCCCGGCCTCCCTTTACCGCCACACCTGATCTCTTGGTACCACCTCTCCTGACCTCCCTTTACCGCCTCGCTTGACCTCCTTGCACCGCCACATCCAATCTCTCGGTACTGCCTCTACTGACATCTCTGCACCACCACACCCGACTTTTCGGTACCGCCTATCCCGACCTCCCTTTACCGCCACACCCGATCTCTCAGTACCACCTTTTCCGGACCTTCCTGCACTGCCTCTCTCGACCTCTCAGCACCACCTCTCCCGACCTCACTGCACTGCCGATCCAGACCTCTCTACACTGCCTCTCCCGACCTCTCTGCACCGCCTCACCCAACCTCCCAGCACCGTCTCTCCTGATCTCTCTAAACCGCCACACCCGACCTCCCTACCCGACTTTTCCGACCTCCCTGCACCAGCACATCCGACCTCTTTGCACCACCTCTCCCGACATCCCTGCTCTGCCTCTTCCGACCTCCCTGCACATTCTCTCCCGACCTCCCAGCACCGCCAAACCCGACTTTTCTGTACCGCCTCTCCCGACCTCCCTTTACCTCCATACCCGACCTCTCGGTGCCGTCTCTTTCGACCTCCCTTTACCGACTTTCCCGATCTCTCGGTACCACCTCTCCCAACCTCCCTGCACTGCCTCTCCCAACCTCCCAGCACAGCCCCCTCCTGACCTCTCTGCACTGCCACATCCGACCTCTCTGTACTGCCTCTTCCGACCTCCTTTTACCGCCGCACCCGATCTCTCGGTACCACTTTTCCTGACCTACCTTTACCGCCTCTCCCGACCTCCCGGCACTGCCATACCGGACCTATCAGTACCACCTCTCCCGACCTCTTTTTACCGCCACACCCGACCTCTCGGTACCGCTTCTATTGACCTCCCTTTATCACCTCTTCCGATCTCTTGGTACCGCCTCTCCTGACCTCCCTGCACCGCCTCTCCCGACCTCCCTTTACCGCCTCTCATGACCTCCCTTTACTGCCACACCCGACCTCTCGGTACCACCTCTTCCGACCTCCCTGCACCCCTCTCCCGACCTCCCTGTGCCGTGTCTCCCGAGCTCCCTTTACCGCCTCCCTCGACCTCCCAGCACTGCCAAACCCGACCTTTCGGTACCGCCACTCTTGAACTCTCTTTACCGCCACACCCTACCTTTCGGTACCGCTTCCCCGACCTCCCTTTACCGCCTCTCCCGATCTCTCGGTACCATCTCTCTAGACCTCCCTGCACCTGCACACCTGACCTCTTTGCACCACCTCTCCCAACATCCCTGCCCCGCGCCTTCCGACCTCCCTGCACTGTCTCTCCCAACCTCCCTGCACCACCACACCCGATCTCTCGGTTCCGCCTCTCCCGACCTTCCTGTAATGCCTCTCCCGATCTCTCTGCACCGCTACACCCGACTCCGTGCACCGTCTTTACAGACCTCCCTGCACCGCCGCACCTGACTTCTCAGTACCGCCCCTCCAGATCTTGCTGCATCACCTTTCCCGACCTCCTTGCACTGCCACATCCGACCTCCCATTACCTCCTCTTTCGACCTCCCTACAGCACCTCTCTATCTCCCTGCACCGACTCTCCCGACCTTTCTGCACCGCCTCTTCCAACCTCCCTGCACCGCCATATCCGAACTCTCGGTACCGCCACTCCAGACCTCCCTTTACCGCCACACCTGACCTCCCTGCACCACCTCTCCCGACCTCCCTGCACTGCCACACCCGACTCCCTGCACCGCGATTACAGACCTCCCTGCACCGCAGCACCCAACCTCTCAGTACCGCCCCTCCAGACCTCACTGCGCCGCCTTTCCCAACCTCTTTGCACCGCCACATCTGACCTCCCATCACCTCCTCTTTCGAACTCCCTGCACCGCCTCTCCACCTCCCTGCACTGACACTCCCAACCTTTCTGGCACCGCTTCTTCCGACCTTGCTGCACCGCCATATCCGAACTCTCGGTACCGCCACTCCCCACCTCCCTTTACTGCCACACCCAATCTCTTGGCACCGCCTCTCCCGATCTCCCTGCACCGCCTCTCCCGACCTCCCTGCACCGCCTCTCCCGACCTCTCTTTGCCGCCTCTTCTGACCTCCCTGCACCACCTTTCACGACTTCCCTGTATCGCTTCACCCGACCTCTCTGCACCACCTTTCCCGACCTTCTTGCACCGTCACTCCAGACTTCCCTGCACCATCTCTCTCGACCTCCCAGCACCGCAACATCCGACCTCTTGATACCGAATCTCCTGACTTTCTTTTACTGCCAAACCCGACCTCACGGTACCGCCTCGCGCGACCTCCCTGAACCGCTTCTCCAGACCG